GTAGCTTCTAGAACACTTGTAGGACCAGTGGGAGAGGAGGAGTATTCTACTAAACTCTAATCTAGAACACTTGTACAACAGGTGGGGAAGGCACAGGTAGAAAAGAAACACAAAGGTACTGGGCAAATCCACACTGAAGAAGGGCCACAGGGAGATCGCTGAATCAAAGCAGAGAATCATTCCAGAGCTGTCAGCGCTCATTTGCTCCACGGCAGTATGTTTTGTGCCAGATTAAGAGCCACAGGAATTATATTAGAGATTTCCTAATCTGGGATAATCTCATATATCATACGCTGCAACTAGGTTGTTGTGGGGACAAGTAGGTTAAAGCAGCAAAAACAACAACAGCATTCTAAAAATGTATAAGATCCAGGATGGAAACACATTTTCATGAACATTTTCACGTTAACACTCATCATCATGAGATCTGTAGATACTGTAAAGACACACAGCCCAAGTTCTCGGCCGTATAACTGGTGTTTGATCAGATGGCCACAGTGAGGACAATGACAAAAGCCCAGACTGGAACCCTTGCTTGACTGCTTCCACCAGTCACCCGGATGAGCCCCTCAAAAACCCTCATTCCGGTATTTCTGGGTGGAGGTCCATTAAAAAACCTGGAAGAACATTTCTCCCAAAAGAAAGCGGAACAGGGTCCCTCCGCATGTCGCTCTCTGTGAGAGACCTCCTTACAACAGGCAGGCTGTGAACGAGAATTAAAATACTGGCTAACCGCTTCGGCCTCTGTTGCTCTGGGAATGTAATTAACTCGAGGTTTAAAATGAGATGTCCAGGTTGCCGCTGGCTCTAATCACTGTGATGGATATTGTGTAACACAACTGTTCCCCGCTGCCCAGTGCCAAGGGCACAGAACGAACAGAGAACTGGATTATCCCAAACTGCATGCATCTCCTTGGAGCAGAGGAAAAGCCTTTCCCACCATTTACAGAAATTTAACTCCTATTGTAGAGATGCAAGCAGACACAGAATAGTTCAGCCAAGGGTTTTAAATGGGCTTGTGACAAAGAGGCTATTTCTGGAGGACCCCAGAGAAGAGTTCCCCCAGAGTGCTCTGAATCCAAGACGTTCTGCAGTTTTCCAGTCTGAGTACAGCTCCAGTCTCTCTTTCATAACCAGGAATAGGTGTTTAGAAGTCACCACTGCACGTGTATTAGAACAATATAAAATATTTCTACACATGGCACAATGGTTATTTCTGATAGTGTTATCCCCACCTTCTCGTCATTTCAGAAATGGCACATACAACAGGTTTCTGCTTCTTTAAAATGCACCTAGGTTAGATTCTACTCTTTAGTTTGCTGCACCACACTGTACTTACTGGCCCGTGTTTCATTTTTAATTTGTCAGGTGGTGTCCCTGTCAATTTGCCTGAGCTGAGCGTTTACAGGTGACTCTGATCACTGACCTCAGAGCTCTTTCTGTCACAGGCCAGTCCTGCAGTTCACTGACATGTTTGTGGTATTTTCAACCAGTGTTGAATGACATGTATTGTCACCACAATATTCCTTTAAACAGGGTAGACATCAATGTACTGTACACTCATAATTGCTATCATATTAAATTATTATTGGTAATGATAAAAACACCCTACACTCTGAGGGCAATGAATATGTTTTGCTATTTTGGGATCTAGCGAAGATTTTATAATGATAAATCATTTTAAACTGTAATTGCACTGTGATTACACTGCATTGGATTATATTAAACAATATTGCACTATACTGTACTGTATGCAGTGTGCAGTATTACACTGGCATAAGATGTACTGTGCTATAGAGTAGTTTACTACATTACTGGACTATGCAGTATTATACTATATTGTGAGTTATACTAAACTGTAAACAGTACTTTACTATAAAATGCTACACTATGCTATAGAGCACTATACTACACTGCAGTGGATTGTGCAGTATTAACCTATATTGTGTTTTACTGTGCTCTACTATACCATACGGTAAAAAGTATGCAGTATTCAACTGCAATATGCTACACTGTGCAATAGAGTACTATACTACACTGTACTGGACTACACGTTATTATACTACATTGTGCTGTACTGTGCTCTACTATACTGTACTGCATGCAGTGTGCATGTACTATACTGGAATATGCTACATTATGCTATAATGTAGTATAATAGACTATAGTAGACTATACAGCATTACACTAAACTGTACCGTGTTCTATTATACTCAGGAACTGTTCCCTCCTGCAGTGGTACTGCAGGCCTCAGCACTCAAGAGTGATTATTGTGTTTATTGAACTGTAAAGTGAACGAAAGTGAGTAACAGCGACTGCCAGTTCTCTAGTGGTTTATTAGCAATGGCAAGGTGCTCTCTGGTGCCCTCCTGTGGCCCAGCCTGGAAACCCCCCAACATGCCCCAAGCCTGAGAAGGAGTTTTTACAGCAGAAATGAGTAACAAATACAGTAACAGCCACTGGCTACAACTCTGAAATTACTTTGTTTCTAAGCAGACAGCAGTCACAATGGAATATATTGTCACAATGCGGTTTCATGACGATGACAACAATAATGATATTTACAAAAATCATCATCATCACCAATGCAAATCAGGCACCTGCAACCATAATAACAATAAAGGCTTCACCATTTCCACAGTTTTCAAGGACAACATTATTCTGCCCTTTAAGATTGATTCTCTGTGTGTCTGCTAAGTTCTTTCTTTGAAATCTAAGAGACTTTAAGAAGCCACAATAAGCCCTACTGTAGCTGCTGGTTTTACAGGCAGGTTCTTGGAAAAGTGTGGATTTCGGGGAAAAAATTAGAAGTAAATAAAATATCATCTTGAGAGTGAACCTCGGTGAGCTCTGTGTTGACGTGTGGTCTCATCAGCCAGCCCGGACACTGAAGAAGGGTAGCGTTCTGATGAAGGTGTCCAGCCTGGAGCTGAACAGCTCACTCTGCAACGTCTCGCTCATTGAACACAGAGGATTCTTCACCACATACTCCACATAAATCTGGAGAGAGAGAGAGAGAGAGAGAGAGAGAGAGAGAGAGAGAGAGAGCTCAGACACACTGCTACTGCACACACACACAGTGAGCCGACACATATCACAGCCATTAATCTGTCATTTAACATTATTCACCACTGTTACTTTCAATGGACTCTTAAAAAATTGGTTTTTAAGGCGACCAGGTTGCATTGAGTTACTCACGGTGCTGTAGATCTGGTGCAGGATGTCCCGGCAGCTGGGGACCCCCAGATCCGTGTTCATGATGATTTTCACCCCTGTGGGGGTCTCGTAGTAGTGCAGTTTGTACCTGCTGGTCTGAAAAGACAGGAACCCATCTTTCCTGGGGTGCAGGAGCAGAGTCAAGGAAGAACGAGAGAGAGGCAGAGGAACAGGATTGTACAAAATACAAATCAGAAATAAGGAGGGGCTCCGCTCAGCCCATCTTTATCGTATGGGTACTATAGCTCGGATCTAATTTTTCAGAGCATCCCAGGATAAAATCTCCTCAACACTGCAGACAGGCTTCCTATTTCCAGTTCTAAATGCACTTGCTCTTAAGCTCTCTAGTGGTTTTGCCCAATTAATGTTTTCTTAAAGTGTAAACGACTGTTCTGAATTTGCATTGCAGCCAGCTGGATGGTTGGAATTTTTTGGCAGAGTGCATTTTTCTGTCCACCAGATGGCAGCCTTGTACAGGTAAAGAAAAAGGTTTCTCTCTGCAACTCAAGAGTTCGTGCAGCCTGAACTGTTCAGTGTTGCCCCTTCTTTTCATTCTCAGCCATACAAACCTGAGCTACTGCTATTGAGGATCACTTCCATGTTCATTATTTTACTGCAGATCCTAGATGGTCCCACTGCAATGGACATGAGTAAATCCTCATGAGGAAACAGGACTTATCCTGCTTGTTTTTAAGTAAACACTTCTCTGGCCAGTAAAGACACAGACAAAACGCGCACTCCCCCATCTCCTCAGCATGGGAAAGGATACATGTCGATGGGAGACATCTTGCTGACAAAGGAGCGAATAGAGAAGAGCATTCCATACATCAGCTTGAACTCCTGGGAAAAATGAAAAGACTTATGAACTTAAGAAAGAAAGGAGGCACACGTATCGAATATCTGACCAGGCTGATGCAGGACAGGTGCAGTGACCACACCCTGGACACAGAAACTGGACGTTTAGACAGTCAGACCTGGCTGTCCAGAGCAGACAGGCTCAATGACCACAAACTAGACACAGGCAGACCTGGCTGTCCAGAGCAGACAGGCTCAATGTCCACAAACTGGACACAGGCAGACCTGGCTGTCCAAAGCAGACAGGCTCAGTGACCACAGCCCGGACACAGAAACTGGACATAAACAGATCTGGAGAGAGATATCTCACACACTGGGACACACACACACAAACACAACATAAACTGGAATTGTACAGAACCCTAAACAGACAATACACACTAGCCGAATATTTGACCAAGATAAGAAACAACAAACAGAAACAGACCCTGACGAAGTACAGGCTCAGTGACCACAACCTGGCCATAGAAACTGGGCAACACAGGCAGACCTGGCTGCCCAGAGAGGACAGGCTGTACTCCCACTGCCAGCGGGGAGAAATAGAGACAGAGGTGCACTTCCTACTGCACTGTGACAGATACTCTGGAATTAGAGAAACATTCTTCCCTAAATTCAGAAATCTAATCCCAGAGTTCCCACACCTGCCAGAATCACAACGGGTCCCAATCCTACTGGGAGAGGGAGGAGGGAACTCAGTTGAACTGGCAGCCCAATATGTGATCTCCTGTCACAGCCTGAGGAACAGTGAGTCTGTCTCCCAATAATGCTCAATATGTTTGCAGTATATGTAAATATTTTATGATGATGTCTTTTTTGTAAATGTCTGTAATATGTCTGTAGATTTTATCTTACTTTTATTCTTTGTTTTGTTTCATGTGAATTTAATTATTTTTATTTGCTTTGGCCACACTGACTGTACCCATCGGTCATGCTAATAAAGCACCTTGAATTGAATTGAGAGAGAGAGACGACAGAGAGAGAGAGGGGTAGAGAGAGAAACGGCAGACAGAGAGAGGGGTAGAAAGAGAGACGACAGAGAGAGAGAGGGGGAGAGAGAGAGACGACAGAGAGAGAGAGAGGGGTTGCACCTCATCCTTGGAGATGCCTGCCTGCTTCTTCCTGTTCCACTCGCTGTAGTGCAGGCAGGTGCCATTGCGGTCGAAGATGTACAGGTTGTGGACGGTCATCTTTTGACAGGGGGCCAGAGGTCACGCAGGTCCCGCTGTCTGCCTCTGACAATCATTGATCATTACAAGACTGAGTCACCTTACCGGGGGCTTGTTGGAGACATTAACTTATTTTCATGGGTCACCACAGAAAATGTTAAATCCCGCGGGTAACTTTGCACAAATCAGAAAAGCTGATTTCAAATAAGAAGGCACTTAAATTGTTATAAAAACAACGTTATCACCCAGCCAGAGGATACCAATAACATAACAATAATACAATATGAATTAACAACTCCACAAAAGTATATTTCAGTGCTCTGACTCTTCCAACTTGTGTACTTCAGCCGACTACCTATTTAATAAAAGTGTGCTCGTTAGTGTCTTCCGTTCAGTCATTTTGGATATTTGTGGTTCCTCAAATATCTTGAAGTTACATGAGTCGTCTAGACAAGTTGGGTTACCGCCAGCCTTATAACAACACTGCAGATAGTATTTACGTTTAGACGCCCGTGTCATTTAACATAAATGTGTATATAATGTATATACACTCTAAAGGTCTCGGGATAGACGGGTTTGCCGTCGCTGGTAGTGTCCTGGCTAGATAATGAGGCACTGTGTGTACGTTTCTCTCAGATATCAACTATTAAATGCATGTTTCCAAGAATTAAGCTATATTTCACGTATTCTGTGTGAATTAAAAAAAATAATTCAGATAAAAAAGCTGTTCACCTCAGATTTCCCGATGCCCCGTCTTCAGGGCCCCCGGCCTTCCTGCCCTCTCTTCTGCCTGAATAGAATGAGGCTGAACTGTCAAAAAATATATTTATTATTCGTTCTTGGCATTCGTTATTATTAAAATAATAGCTTCATTCTTAACCGGAATAAAATTAAAACATGTTCAGCGTGTCAAGATAAAAACAGTTTAAAAACATTTCTCAAAAACAAGCAGGGCAAACGCCAGTGAAACTGACTCTATCAATCGTCCTGCAACGCAGGCATCCCTACAGCCTTTACGGAAGGAATCGCCCCGACTCAGAGCCAAGATGGCGACCTCAGAGTGCTAGTTTCCCTGCTGTTCTAGTACCGCAGTAAAATTAGATAGAAAATCTTCGCGCATATAAGATGCAGTATATGTGATTCTATGTTGTGTGGATTGCAGCTGCAGTTGTATTGTAACTATAACTATATGACCTATAGCCAGGAGCTATTTAATCCTGCAATTTACAACTGGCAGCCCAGTGAAGCTCAGCAATGTGTGAGCCTGGTCAGGACCTGGATGGGAAAAACTAATGTTGCTGCTGGAAGAGGCATTAGTGGGACTTGTAGGGGGCACTCGTTCTTGCTCGCTCCTGCAGTCTGTGTGGGTCCTAATTCCCCAGTATAATGACGGAGACACTATACCGTAAGAAGGCACCGTTCTTCAGGTGAGACGTAAAACCAAGGTCCTGACTCTCCGTGGTCATGAAAAATCCCAGGGTATTTCTTGTAAAGAGTGTTACCCCAGTTTCCTGGACAGATTTCCCCCTGACCTTTACCAGTCATGGCCTCCTAATAATCCCCCTCTCTGAACTGGCTTCATCACTTTGCTCTCCTCCCCACTGAGAGCTGGTGTGTGGTGGGTATACTGGCACACCAGGTGGGGCTGCACACTGGTGGTGGTGGAGGGGAGTCCCATTTACCTGTAAAGCACTTTGAGTGGAGTGTCCAGAAAAGCGCTATAGCAGTGTGAGGAATTATTACTGAACTACTTTTAAAACTGAGAACCGGCGGCATTTCTTTGCATAAAGTGTTATGGGGATCTGGAACAAGCTGCCCACTCACACTGAAGCCAATACCTCGGAATCTTTCAAGAAATGACCGAATGAGATGTAATTAGCAATATTTTGC